GAGCGTGAAGAGAGAAGAAAAAATGTGTTAATTAAAGGATTGGAGGTTAAAGAAGGAAAAAGGAGAGAGAAAGGCGGTGGAGTAAGTGCTAAACGTTATGGGGGTAAGAGGAAATATAGAGGAGGTCAAGAGAGTGGGGGGGACAGAGAGAAGGACAGAGAAATGGTAGTGGTAAGGATGAAGAGTGAAGAGCAGAGAGGAGAAATCATGAAAAGAAGGGGAGAGCTGAAAGGAAGAAAAGAGAGGATTCTGGAGGACTGGACGTTGAAAAAGAAAAAAATGAGGTAGAGGTTAGAGGAAATCGCGAGAGGGAAAGAGAGAAAAGGAAGAAGGGTGAGAATAGGATATAGAAAGCTATGGATAGATGAGCAATGGTAGAAATGGGATGAAGAAGAGGAGGTTTTGAGAGATGGGAGGGGAGATCAAAGAAGAGAGGAGGGGGAGAGAAAAAAGGGAAAACAGAATAGTTCTGACACGATGCTCGAAATGCCCCGGGAGGAAAACCAGCCGGAGGAGGACATGTTCGCCGTTGATGGTAAGCAGTGCAATCGGAAAAAGCCCAAGTCCGCTAACAATACTAGACACAAGCAGATGGAGGGAGGAGAGAAGAGAGGGAGAAAGAGGGAGGGAGAAGGAGAGAGTGGAGCGTGGCCTTTTGGAACGTGGCCGGGCTAGAGAACAAAGATGAGTTTTGGACAGGGCTGAAGGAATGGGATGTGATGGTGGTGCTGGAAACATGGCTAGATGATAAAGGGTGAAAAAGAGTTAAGGAAAGACTGCCGGGAGGGTATGGAGTGAAGAGTGCAGACGGCGAAGAGAGAGAATAAGAAGGGAAGAGCGATGGGGAGAATGGTTATGGGTATAAAGAAGGAGTTAGTGAAGAAGGGGGAAAGGATTGTGAGGGCGGAAGAAGGGATCATGACGAGCAAGGTAAGAGTGGGAGAGGAGGGAAAGAAGTATAAAAGGAGGAAACAAGAGTTTACGGAGATGTGCAAGAGGAAAAAGAAAGAGAATGAGAAGTGGAAAAAAGGGCGGCGGAGGTGAGAAAAGAAAGTGAAGTGTGGGAATCAGTTAATAGGGAGAGGAAAAAGAAGAGGAAAGTGACGAAAAGGATAGAAATGGCGGAGTGGAAAAAGCATTTTATGAGGTTACTTGGGGGTGGGGGTAGAGAGAAGGGTTGTCAAGGGAGGGAGAGAAGGGAGAAAGAGGGAGGTGAGGAGGAAATAAGTATGGAGGAAGTAAGAAGGGTCTTAAAGAAAATGAAGGAGGGAAAAGTGGCGGGGGTAGACGGTATTCCAAGCGAGGTGTAGAAACACGGGGGAGAAGTGTTGGCGGAGTGGGTGAGAGAGTTTTGCAACAAAGTATGAGTATGAGGCCGGAGAGTTGGAAGGAGGGGGTGATTGTGCCCATAGTAAAGAAGGGGGAAGGGGAGAGGGCAGAAGACTATAAGAGGGTTACCCTGCTTCCCACCTTATACAAGGTGTACGTAACGGTGTTAGCCGAGAGACTGAGGGAGGAAGTGGAGCACAAGGGGATCATCCCGCCGAATCAAACGGGATTTAGGAAGGGGATGGGAACGGTGGACAACATTTATGTGCTCAATTACCTAATAAATAGGCAAATAAGAAGGAAGGGGGGAAAGGTGGTGGCGCTGTTTGTGGATCTAAAGGCGGCATTTGACTCGGTAGACAGGGAGGTGTTGATGGAGGCGCTGAGGGAGAGGGGGGTTAGGGAGGGTTTGGTTGAGAGAATAGAGGAAGTATTGAGAGAGACGAGAAGTAGGGTCAGAGCGGGAAAGGAACTGGGGGAGTTTTTAGACAGCAAGAGGGGTAAGGCAGGAGTGTCCGCTGAGCCCGCTGCTTTTTATTATATTGTTGGCTGACTTGGAGAAGGAGATGAAGAAGGTCAAGTGGGGTGGAATCAGGCTAGGGGAAAAAAGAGTGTATGACTTGAAGTTTGCGGATGACATAGTGCTGCTGGCGGAGGGAGAAGATGAAATGAGAAGTATGATGGAGAGGCTGGAGAAGTATCTGGATAAGAAGAGCCTGAAACTAAATGCAGAGAAAACCAAGATCATGAAGTTTAGAAAAAGAGGAGGCAGGATGGTGAAAAAGGATTGACGGTGGAAAGAAAGAAAGGTGGAAGAGGTGAAGGAGTTCCGATACCTAGGGTATACGCTACAAAGGAATGGAGGGCAAGAGGCGCACGTGAAAAAGAGGGTTAGGAAGGCGGCGGCGGTAATGGGGCAAGTGTGGGGGATAGGGAAGAGGAGGTTTGGACGGTGTGGGGTTGTAGGTCAGGATTAGGTTAAGGTGCGTCGTTCCCACAAATAACGAAATGTTCAATTGGATAAAGTCTCGCTATGTTTATTCATGCTCTATGTACAAAATAATTATATCCTCTATGTGAATGTGTAGATGGTCGTGTGTGTTGGTGTAGGTTATCTTTGTGTAGTGTAATATACGCATTTATGGTTTTTTGAATAATTGTTTTATGATTGACTTCTTCTTGAAGATATTCTCTAGCGGGACCACCAGGTTCCGTCCGGGAGTCCTAGGCTTGCCTATTGGAGTGGATGGAATAGGACTCAGTCGGGTCTTCAGGAATCGTGGTCGTATAGGCGTCTTGAAGATATGGTCGGTTTGTGTCGCCACAGAGTTCTCTGGATCAATGGGATGAAGAGGGCGTCGGACACGTGGAGCTCTTGGTGGAAGATCAATTGGATAGAGCTTCCACGGTAAAAAGGTTTCTATCCTGGAGATCGGGATAACGTCCTTCGCCTGGATCTCAGGAGCCGATACGTCTTCGGGAGCCGGAACTGTGATGGGTATGAGAAAGGTTTCTACCTTGGAGGACAAGTTCGGATCACTCGATGTAGCCTCAGGAACAGGAGCTGGTGTAGGGCTCGGTAGGACTGGAGTCGGTCTCGGTATAGATGACGATCTTAATTCCACCGATTGTAATGTTGCTGGGTCAGTATGACCCCACTTGGCAATCGGGGTAAATCTCCACTTAGTCCTGGATTTGTTCTGTAGGAGACGTTTCCCAGGTGGTAGAGTTTCTATCTTTGTGATCACGATGCGATCCTTCGTCTTGGATACAGGAACAGGAGTCGGGTCCACAAGAGCAGGAGTCGGAGTCACAAGAGCCGGAGTACTCGGAGCCGAGGCCGTAGGAGACAGCGCCTTGGTCTCAGGAGCCGGAGTCAGGTTCGCAGGAGGCAACGTCTTGGACTCAGGAGCCGGAGATAGAGTTGCCCAATGGGCTGGGTCGCAATGACCCCGGAAACCTTTCCGCGGCAGGATGCTGGTTGTCTCTTGACTGTATTAACGCCCTGCCAAGCAGGTGTTTTACGAAGGCCCACTGTCGAGCAACATTTTGTATCAAAAAAGACTTATGTCAGGGGCCCCCGATAGGTAGCACGCCCTGACTGGCGTTCTCGAAGATCGCTGGAGAGGTCCTGCTGAGTTGCCCTTTATATAAGGATCGATGTCAAACCTTACTTACGAGAGAGATACGCCGCGCAGCGGAGCGCGCCGAACTATTCCGCCGGTCGATACTCATGCCGCGCGCCGATCGATATTACGCTACTATCCGTGCTGCGCGCCGCGCGCCTCCCGTCATACTATTCGTGTAGCGTATGTACGGTCGCGCGCACGTGGCGGCAGGCGGACAGCTGACCGCCACAGACGGTAATGGGGTACGGGGTGGATATATGGGGTTGGGAAGAGAGAGAGGGGATGGAGAGGCTTGAAGAAAAATATTTGAGATGAGTGTTGGGAATAGACAGGAGGACGCCGTGGTACTTGGTAAGGAAGGAGTTGCACAGAGAAAAATTAAAAGGTAGGGCGGGCAGGAAGGCGTGAGGGTTCGAAAAGAGGCTGGAGGAGGGAGGAGGAAGCGAGCTGGCGAGAATGTGCTGGGAGGAAGTGAAGGAAAGAACGGGGAGGAGAGGGGGAACCTCGAGTTGGGAAGAGGGTAGGAGGAATTTTATGAGCGAAAGAGGCTTGTAGGATGAGAGAGAGGTGGAGAGAGGGGGGAGGAAGAGACAGTCAGTTGCTGTCTTTCAATTCGGAACGACGTGTCACCGGTTCCGTTCACATTATGACTGCGGCTTGCTCTGGAGTGCGACTTTTTTAAAATAAAGAAATTTGACAATGTTAGAACTGCAAGAACCTTGTGGGTGGCTAATTCAATTTGCAAACAGTATAAAATAGAAATCTCTTGATAAGGACACAAAACCAGTATCGAAACGTCGAGTTAAGAATTTTGAGTATTAAATGTCAGTTTGGTCAAAGATACAACCTGTGTTAATATTTTTTAATGTTCTTTTAAAACTCATAAATTTGTTTTTTTCTGGTTAATTTTTATGATTTAGCGTAACGTAATACAAAAAACTTTTCATATTAATTATTATATGAAACTATAATGCAAATAAAATGTAAATATGTGTAAAAAATACTTTTTTAGATTAGAATAATGCAATGATTTTTTTATACAGCTTTATTTATATTGTTATTGTTTATAATGAAATATATAAAGCTACTAAAAACATCGATTTGAAACATATAAAGCATCTATAAATTTAAATAATTTGTTTTTTAATAGAAACTTATTAAAAATTATATTATACGTAATGTTTTGAGAACGTAGATGAGATTTTATTTTGCTCCACAGGTTTTCTTAACAAGAAATAAAAAAATAATTCCTGTTTAAATTCTTCCATCGATGAGCAAGATGAATCTCTGAACTGTACATCACAAGATGTTTTGGAGAGTGCAAATTGCAATAGGCCTAAATTAGATTGGGTTGATATGAACGAAAGTGAGTTTGTAATTATAGTGTGGTATTGCATTAAATAGGATAGGCCAAGGCGAATCGGATCAATTTTTCTTTCTCGGTAAAGAAGTAATCAAAAACAAATTTTGTTATTTAATCTTATTGTAGATTCTTAATCTTTATAACTTTAGCTTGGATTTTATATAATAAAATAATACATAAATATATATTTCTTATTGTATAACGAAAAAATGAAAAGAAGAGACTGATCCGATTCGTCTCGGCCTACCTTACCTTTTTTTTAAAGCATATTTCAACTGATCAACTTATTTCTTTCCATATTCTTATACATATATTAGCCTAAAATTATTAAAAATGTGTCTTGCCACTTTATACAATCAATTAAAAATAAATAGTAAACTAAGAAAATCGTTATATATATATCAAGGTCCAACATCTCCTTAACTGTATGGATAAAACTGATCACATAGTTTCTTATATATCGTCATCAAATCTATAATTTTTGTGATATTTAACGTTTTTTCTGTTCTTAGCATGCCCTGTTAATAATGAAACTGTGCAAGACAACATTTCAAAAAATATTCATGATACGGATCCGTCTTACGTACCACCAAACACTTCATCTGATGAAAGTTTTGTTCAACCTGTGATAGATCAGGCAACAAACTCTGTTACTAAAGAAACTAACAGCTCAGCAAATACTTCTAGTGGATTAGAAATATCAATGTCACTAAACGTATCTGGTAAATGTGCCAGGGATGACACCGACATGTTTGTTACATCAGTTGGTGCGGGAAACAAGAAGCATTTCTGCATGTATTGCAACACGTTTCAGAGCAAAATAGCTCGTCATCTTGAAAGAGTACATGCTAATGAATTAGAAGTACAAAAGTTTAAAAATATACCGAAAGGAACGACAGAACGAAGAAAGATTCTAGAAACGATACGTAGACGTGGAGATTTCTATTTTAATGTCGATTGACGAAAATGATGGTGAACTACTGGTAAAAAGACGTTTAAAAAAAGAATACAACAGAGCACCTTCTGATTATGTCGTATGTCCAAAATGTAAAGCTTTCATTCTAAAAGTTACAAGCAGACATCACTATCAGAGATGCATTACGATTAAAAGTAAAGATACTAGATCGATATTGGTTTTAGGAAGACAAGTAATAGGACGTATACATAATGAGGCAAGCAATGATCTAAGAATACGAGTTTTCCCAATTTTACGAGAAGACGATATAGTAAAGGCTATTCGTTACGATGAGTTAGTAATCGCATTCGGTAATCAACAGTTTGAAAAATATAAAACATCTGAACACAATGATGCGATGATTAGACAAAAAATGAGAAGGATGAGTCGCCTACTTCTAGAATTAAAATATTAACATTTTGATATTACGGATTTTGCTTCCATTTACTTCCCCCGATACAGCATTGCTTGCATTGAAGCAATCAATAGTCTAGCCGGTTTATCTTTGTGTGCAAAATTTTATAAAATTCCATCACTGGCTTCTGCACTTGGAGGTTTAATAAAAGAAATGGGTAAAATTTTGCTCAATCGATGTATTAGAAACAAAGACGGGGAAAGAAAATTACGTGCCGAAGATTTCTTAAAGGTATACCAAAGATTTTAATACACGCATATCAAAAATAATATCGGAAACAATGAGTAGAAATTTGAGACGTAAAAAAATTACGTTGCCTTCTAAGGCAGATATTATTAAGCTCCATAACTTTCTAAAACAAGGACGTGAAACAGCTTATAATTCCTTGAAAGAAAAGTTTTTCTATGATGCATGGCTTTCACTTACAAAAGAAACATTGATTTCAATACAAGTTTTTAATCGTCGTAGAGCTGGAGAGATACAAAGGACGCTAATCGAAGATTACAAAATTTATCAAGGAATTAATTTTCAAACAAACGATATGTATAAAGCGCTTTCACCACGTGCCAAAGAAATTGCCAAAAATATGTACGATTTACCTTAAGAGGTAAATTTGGACGAACGGTACCAGTCTTACTAACAGCAGAATTAAGAGACTGTATCGAAATGATTTTAAAGCATAGAAAGGTTGCGAAAGTTTCTTCAAAGAATCCGTATCTATTTGGTCTTCCTTCGCTTAAAAAAGATAATCACAAATTTCTTTTAGCGTGTGACTTATTACGGCAATATGCAGTCGAAAGTGGCGCAGAAAATCCAGATACTATTCGTGGAAATCAATTATGGAAACATATAACAACATGTATTCATAATAATCTATCAGAAAATGAAATTTCAACGCTTGCAAACTTTATGGGCCATGCCGATAAAATTCATTTATCTCACTACAGACAACCTGTTATAGAAAAAGAAATTTTAGAAATATCTCAATATCTCGAAGCAGCACAAGAAGTTAATATGAATGAAAGTGATGATTCTGATTCTGGACTCTTAGATATGGAAAATACAACGACCACGAAAACTTACGATGACGAAATTAATGAGGGAGTTGCATCCAGAAGAATAATATCAAAATATTCCCAGGTTTCTTTTGCTGCGCCAGTACGATTATTTGCATCATTAAACGTTTTATATTTTTCTTCATACCAGTCTATTTTATACAACAGTTTTCTGCAGTCAAATTATAACTATGTGTGTTAATAACTGCAACAATCGTTTTCCAAGCTTGCTTATTTAATAGACTAGTAAAAGATTCTGTATACGTAGTTATTTCTGCTGCAGTTTTACCATATTATCAGTCCACTGAACTCTGTAATTCACTGTAATTACAAAAATTAGTTACTACTTGAACAAATTGTAATAATCGACTTATATAATTATCTTTATTAAATAATCATGTACATATCAACATCATTCACTTCTCTCACTGAACTTAATTTATCTGTAACCATTTCTCAACAAAGCAAATCTGTAAAAATCAGATTTTTCAAAATGTATATTATATGTAAATTTTACTGCTACAAAAATTGAAATCTAATTAATCTGAACCAATAAAATCTAACAGAATTCAACAAAGTATGATATGAAATTGACAGCAAAGCCAAAATCAGTTCTTTCATGCTGCTTATGTTTATAAGTACGTTTAAATTAAATAACATTTATAACATTAATAACATTTATTGAGAATCGATGTCTAATTAAAATTTTATATTAGATTTTGAAATAATACCGTTATGATAGAAACTTGATAGACAAATGAATGAAAAAGATGTTTGTAAATAAGATAACCTCTTTGGTATTATTTTAGACAATACTTTAAAAATACATGATTGTGTTACATAATTATAATTTTAACAAAGTTGATATTATACATTAAAAACAGATTATTTTTAATTGTAATCTATATCTATAAAGGAAGATGTCCTGACTGACTGACAGACTGACTGACTGACTGACTGACTGACTGACTGACTGACTCATCAACGCCCAGGCCAAACCCCTGAACCTAGAGACTTGAAATTTGGAGGGTGTATTCCTCTCATGACGTAAGCATCCACTAAGAAAGGATTTTTA